CTCTCTCTCTCTCTCTCTCTCTCTCTCTCTCTCTCTCTCTCTCTCTCTCTCTCTCTCTCTCTCTCTCTCAATCAATCAATCAATCAATCAAATCAAATCAAATCACATTTATTTATCCATCTATCCATCCATCCATCCATCTGCAGTGAGTCCGGAGCTGAAGTGGGCGAGAGAAAAGGAGCGTAGCATAGCGATAGGGTAGATGCGGCCATAGCCGCCATAACTAGAGTTAGTGTGTAGCGAGTGCGTGTGTGTGTGTTAGTTCAGAGATTCGCGTGTGGGATATCCAGGGTGATCCGGTGTGTGTGAAGAGTGAGTTGTTTGGGTGCTGAGTCGCCATAGCCAGTAGAAAGTGAACTCGTATCTGGATGCCATATCTCTGAGTTTTGAGTGGGCGCATGTCGCCAGTTTGCTGCGTTGCTGTTTACATGCATGAAAAGTGTGAATGAAAGCGAGTCTGATTGCATATCTATCTCTATATATATATCTGACTCGCACGAGCTGCACCCCTCATCCGATGACTGCAGGGTGCCATTGACTGAATCAGGGTCATCTTCAGAGATGATTACACGCTTCCGAGGTTTGCTGATGTCCTCTTCCACCTTGCGAGGCCCCGCCCGGCGCCGGTTGTTTTGTTCCCCGTTCCGTTTTTTTTTTTTTTTTTTTATGCCCGTTTTTGTTTCTTCCCCGCCCGTCGTTTTGTTGGCCTTCGTTTTTATTTGGGACCACCCCCTGCCCCCCACCACACACACACACACGCACGCACAAGGGACGTCACCCGAAAGCGGCAGCAGTGACCTCAAGGATTGTTTCGAAGGACAAGGGCTGGAATAAATCATTTTCGAAGGACTGCAGCGAAGAGGAGTTTGGGGACTCGGATTTGTGGTACCAGCAATCCCGGCAACCACATATGTGGGCATGCGATTGGGGTGGTGGGAAAAGGATCTTGAGGTGGAGCCGCTGCTAGTCGTTGATAGACTGGGCACAAATGTGGAGACCTTGCTGCACCCCATGAACGATGCCAATGAGGAGGAAGTTGGACGTGCGAACGGAATGGTGGACAGGGAAGTCGATCTTGTGAAGAGCTCATGCGCGAGGAGGCCCGCCATGCTGCGGTCCCCATCCGTAGGGAGAGAGAGAGAGAGACGGGCTGGACAGCTTGACCAGCTCAAAGATCAACGTGTGGAGGATGTGGACAGGGGGGTTGGGAAGAAGTATGAGACGCCCGTGGAAGTAGGGAACATGATGCAAGATGAGGGGGATGAAGCGCAAGGAACAGACCAAATGCACATGCAGCATGAGAAAGGGGATTTGGAGGCAGCAATGGAGAGGAATGAGCAGCATATAAAGCAGCGTGGGGAAGCAGTGGAAGAGCAGCCTACAACGGGGGTGGTGTACAGACGCAGGCCCTGCCCACAGGCGGTGCAGGAGGTGGAAGCAGTGGAGCAGGAAATGGGCCAGCAATCCGCGGACGAGGAGAAGCAGGAGCAGCACGAGGCTTCAGAGGAGATCAACATGGCCCCAACGCCTACCATGAATGAGGTTGTCCAACATGACCACCTCTGGAAAAGCAGGGCAGGGAGAAATAGGAAGGCATCGGTGGAGAAGGAACCGTTAGCACCTCGTCACGGAACTGGGAGACCCAAAAAGAAGAAGGGCAGCTATGGAGAGGAATGAGCAGCACATAGAGCAGTGTGGGGAAGCAGTGGAAGAGCAGCCTACAAGGGGGGTGGTGTACACACGCAGGCCCCGCCCACATGCGGTGCAGGAGGTAGAAGCAGTGGAGCAAGATATGGGCCAGCAACCCGCAGACGCGAAGAAGCAGGAGTAGCACGAGGCTGCAGAGGAGATCAGCATGCCCCCAATGTCTGCCATGAATGAGGCTGTCCAACATGACAACCTCTGGAAAAGCAGGGCAGGGAGAAAGAGGAAGGCATCCATGGAGAAGGAACCGTCAGCACCTCATCGCGGACCCGGGAGGGACTCATACGACAAACGGTTCCTTCTCTTGGAGTGTACGAAGTCCATGGATGCCCAGTTTCTCTCAGCGGGAGTCGCAAAGCTCCACATGCCCATGACCTTCACAACAATGTTTTGAAGGGCTGGAACATCCCCACGATGTGCTGCCCACCAGTCCATAGGGTTCAACCGCAAGACATCATCCCTCGCAACCGTTCTCCACATCTTGTCATCTTCGCGGTCCTTCTCATGCCTTTCATGCTTTTTGTGGAACTGCCACAGATACCCCCACTTGTGTGAATGTTTCCTGCTGTCCCACTTCCCCCCCATCTGCCTCAAGAAAAAAACGCATTGCATTTTGGATGAATGTGCTATCCGGATCAAGGAGGCAACATGGTTCTCGCCGCCTCAGGTCTAGAAGGGATGCAACTGCGTGCACCGGCTGCCTCATCATCAGCATGCCATCCCTGACCTTCAGCATCACAACCTCCTGCTCCTTCCTCATCAGCACAACGTTTGTCAACTTTTACGACCAGCGAGGTCATCGTACTGCACAAGCTTCGACGTGCCTTCTGCGTCCATCCTTTTCAAGACTCCGACCTCATAATGTAGTATATGAGGTCATCTTTCCTGCGCAACTTCTCCCCTGACCATCTCAATGCCCTCCACTTCGTTACCTCCCTTCCATCCACCATCTTTGTCAGGAATCCTCTGTCTACCAGCCGCTGCAGCATCATGTCCAAACCGGACCTCAATGGGGCGCAACAAGACAACGAATCATCGATCGACATCATCAATGTATGGGTGGTATGATGATTTCTGATGAACTTAACAATGGTGTTCACAGTTTTCACTGTTTCCTTTATCCATGGCAGGTTACTCAGGTCCTTGAGAGCAAAAAACTGCAACAGTGTGCCTCACAAGGAATCCAAGGGATCCTGGCCACATGTTCTTCCGCCGCTCAAGGATATGTGCAGCCTTTTTGTTGACCTCCGCGTTATGGATGCAGATTGCGTTGATGCACCGCAAACCAATCCCCCGAATCACCTGCTCCCACATCTTTGCCAACGCCGCGACATGCTTCCTCCTCCCTGTCATTGTGACCGTCGTCACAAGCACTGTCCCTTGTTCCCCGCACGCCAATGAGTTCATGATCACTGGTTGATTCTTGTGATCAGTTGACTCGTCAGTGATGAATGTGCATCCAGAGAAGTCCCAACATCTGGTTAGTGGCTCCACCGACTTCCGAATCTTCAAGTACATGACGTACAACACTACCGTCCGCATGTGCTTGTATGAAGGTAGCTTCATCTTCGGCCTGGCGCTCGCCACCCCCAAGTACACATCATGCAATGCTAGAATAAAGTGTCCATGTTCAGGAAATTGAGCGTGATGCCACCCTTGAACATGGCCTCCGCCCATGCACTGTCCAACCTCCTCTGTGTGTCGTTGTCCACCCACCTGGGAATGGTGCTTTGCTGCTTGACGACCGCTCGAACACTCGATCCTTGACCCTCAACTGTGGCTGGACCCTCTCCAGCACGTCCCCCCTCAACAACCTCGTCAAGGCTCTGCTTTGGGGCGGGGATCTTAGGTGGGATGGGGTCCCCTTTGGGGGGAGGGTTGGATTGGGACAAGCTCTGCTGGAGGATAATTGTGGGGAGCCTACAGTAGGGTATTGTCTTTAGGGATCCCGGTAGGAGGTTTTTTTTTTTTTTTTTTTTTTTTTTTTTTTTTT